TGCATGCAAGTCTTTTTTCTTTTTTGCACAACATAGTAATAGGATGCAGACATATATATATACTCTCTTCATCACATAATGTAAGATATTTTTTAACAGTACATGATTAGTTTTAATAGCCTATTCTGACGTGTGATATTGTGGCCTTCTGCATGCCTTATTGATTGACGTAGCCGAGTCCGTGGGGGGCTGAGTCCATAAGGGCATCTCCAGCCGTTGGCCCTCCCAAGACGCATAAAAATCGTCCTCTGGGGGCGAGCCGGCGATACAATCGGCGCTGGGGGCGGTTTTGCGCCTAGTCGTCGCCCCCAGCTCGCCCTCAGGCGCCGAAATTGGCCCACTTTGCAGCCCAATTTCGGCGAATAAAGGGCCCATATGGGCGAGAATAGGTCCATATTCGGCGTGGTTTCGCCGTGTCTCGGCGTTCAATTATCAACACAATTATTTCTTATCACATATTTCATCACAGAAAAATCAAATATTTCAACAAAATAGTACAACAACAAATAGTTCAATACAAATTATATAGTTCAACAAATAAAAACTCGTATTTCATCACACGGCGTCCCCCTTGAGCTTCCATAGGTGCTCAATCAGATCTTTCTGCAGTTGATGATGCACCTGTGGGTCTCGGATCTCCTGACGCATACTGAGATAGGCAGTCCAAGTTGCCGGTAGCTGGTGATCAACTTCGGCTAGAGGACCCTGCCTGTAGTATGGTTCAGTGTCAAACACTGGGTCTTCTTGCTCGCTCTCGATGATCATGTTATGCAAGATGACACAGCAAGTCATAATCTCCCACATTTGATCTTTGGACCAGGTCTGAGCGGGGTACCGAACAACAGCAAATCGAGATTGGAGCACACCAAATGCCCGCTCGACATCCTTCCTGGAAGCCTCCTGAAGCTTCGCAAACCAGGCGTTCTTGCCTCCTGCCACAGGGTTTGAGATCGTCTTCACAAATGTCGACCATCTCGGATAGATGCCGTCAGCTAGATAGTACCCCTTGTTGTATTGGTGCCCATTGATCTCGAAGTTCACCGGAGGAGAATGGCCCTCAATGAGCTTGGCAAAAACAGGAGAGCACTGCAGCACGTTGATGTCATTGTGAGTTCCTGGCAATACCAAAGAAGGAGTGCCAAATCCAGAGGTCTTGTGTGGCTACCGCCTCAAGCACCACACTGCAACCGCCTTTGGCGCCTTTGTACATCCCCTGCCAACCAAATGGGCAATTCTTCCATTTCCAATGCATGCAGTCGATGCTTCCAAGCATCCCAGGAAATCCTCTTGCTACATTCTGGGCTAGGATCCGAGCAGTGTCTTCCGCATTGGGTGTTCTCAAGTATTGTGGCCCAAACACTGCCACCACTGCCCGACAGAACTTGTAGAAACACTCTATGCTGGTGGACTCGGCCATGCGCCCATAGTCGTCGAGTGAATCACTGGGAGCTCCATATGCAAGCATCCTCATCGCTGTCGTGCACTTCTGGATGGAGGTGAATCCAAGAGCGCCAATGCAATCCATCTTGCACTTGAAGTAGTTGTCGAACTCCCGGATGGAATTCACAATACTGAGGAAGAGCTTTCGGCTCATCCGATAACGGCGCCGAAATGTTCTCTCGCCATGAAATGGAGCATCGGTGAAGTAGTCAGAGTAGAGCATGCAGTAGCCTTGGAGACGATGCCGGTTCTTTGCTTTCATCCGCCCCGGTGCCGAGCCACCTCGCCGCGGCTTTTCATTGCTCGCCAGCAGCTGGGCGAGGGCGACGAGCACCATGAGATGCTCTTCTTCCTGGACGTCGACCGCGGCTTCCTCCTCCAGCAGCGCGGCGAGCTCTTCCTCCTCATCCGAGTCCATCGCCGATGCAGGCAAAACGCCGAACACCTTGCGCTCGGTGGGCGTGTATCCGCCATTAAACCGCGCCTCTGTGGCCGGAAACGGCGGCCGGAAACGCCCAACTGCTGTGGGAGGGGCTGCCGCGGCGAAGCGCTGCTATTTTCCGGCGGGGAATGGCTATCTAGCGGAGTAGGGCGGCGGCCGTCGCCGGGATATAGCTAGTGGTGGCCGAGGGCGCGGGGGGTGCGAGGCGAGTCGGGGGAAGAAAACCTTGACTTTTTCCCTGTCGGTGTGGGCCAGGCATGCTTTTTCCTAGCGTCGGAGCCCCCAACTGCTCCCCAGCGCGCCGGGTTCGGCCTGTGACCGCCGGGCGGAAAAAAGGTCCGAACCGGCGATTTTCGGCGTCCTGGGGGCGCGACTGGGCCGTTTTTTCGGCGCCGGCACCGAAAAAGTGGCCTGAGGGACCCTGTTGGGGATGCGGCTGGAGATGCCCTAACACCACCGCTTGTATGAAGCGTCATGCATACTGATACATCTCTACAAATCAACTAAAAAAAACTACGATAGGCTTGGAACGCCGAACAGCTCAGCATGGGTGTCCATCCAGCTCTGGGTCGGTCGATTCCGCCAACCGTGCAATTTCCGCGGCGTCCAACAGTGCATGAAAATCACAGCGTTGACCAGGTGTGTACGAAATAACAATCTCGGGCATCCATTACACGCTCAAATCGAGCAAGCAACAATGCATTTTTTGCCACTCGTTGCATTACAAAGCTGTCATATAAAGACATAGGGTCGATTTATTCTCATTTTCACACTACATATGCCACGGATATGACAGGTGGGCTCCGAAAAGGGCAATGACCTGACCGCGAAGAAAATATCGAGGTCATGGAGCAAAGGGCACCACACTACCTTCACAAAGCGGACGCGTCCCCTCGATAGACTGATCATGATGTGCCCCCCACCAAATTCTTGAATGTTATGGTCTATTTTTGGTTGCTCATGGTCCTGTGACCTACTATAAGGAAAAAAAATCCTATACGACCTGGGCCGTATGCCCACCAGGTGAGACCCACTTCGATTTGTGACAGAGTGTAGACATCAATCTCAAAGAAACACCCAACCTTAATGGCTTAATCCCGATTCCATCCTTCCTTTCTTCCACAACTGGTCTACATTCTACGGACATCTCGCCGGCGGCGACTGTGCGGCACAACAGTTCGTCCTCCTCGCCAAGCTACTCCAGACACAACACTGAGAGAAGCTAACCGTCATCCTGCCGGTCTGTTCCGTCACATTGTGTAGACGGGCACTCATGGCGACGACGAACTGAGCCCCTGTCGACGGACGACAGCGGCCGTGCAGCACAAGGGCACATAATCGTTGTTGCGCCAGATGGCATGGTGCCTACCATTCCAGCTGCTCCGTGATGTCACGCAGCCGGTCATGGCGATGAGCTTCGGGCCGTCTGTCACAAGCGATGGGAATTGATCCTCTGTATATTTCATCTCCTAATTTAAAAAAAAAATCCTCCGTCTCTTTAGTGTCAAGGGCATGAATCTGAAGATCGATCTTTAGCAGTCAGATGTCGGGGAAGAGGGATGCGGTGAAGGAGTGTTTCAATGTGGTCCCACTGCTCTTGTTGCTCGATGGGAGGATAAAGAAGAGGGAACGAGAGAGGAATTAGATGTGGAAGACAGGGAGGGTGCTTTCAGATTCGTATTGCCATCTGTCAACATCTAAACAAGGTCTAACGATGGGGGGCATACGACCCAGGTCGTATATAATTTTCCCCCTATTATAACACACATAAAGGGGACAGTCCAGATGAAATCACCCATATGAAGAAACCTAGGGGTAGGTGTTTCCGGGCTTACCAAACAAGATTGATTCATCAAATCATCTGAGTAAGGCTCGGAACCACTTATCCTTTTGCGTGTGATCTTAATATGGGTACAGTACGGGGTGTGATACTACAAGGCGATGACAACTTTAAAGTGGCAAAGTGGCGGTAATTAGAGAGTGGGATGGAAATTGAGGGCATCGAAAGGGCAGAAATTGGAGAGTGGGTGGAAGAGAATGGGTTAGGAAAGAGGGGAAGGAATAGAGTGCAATAAATAAACATAAATGCAATGAAGAACATGAAAAATTCATTATTGCATTATGAAATTGCTAAGCAAATAAGATGCAAAGTGTAAGCCAAGTGTCCTATTTTGCGCACTCCTCTTCTATTATATATATGTCACGCATCTTTCAAGCACCCTCGACTTATAGAGCATGCCGTGCTGTCATGCACATATGTGATGGCCACATGGCAATAACTTTGCTGAGAAGGAACTCTAAGCCGAGTGCTTTCTGGACAATATGCCGAGTGTTTTTATGTAAGTTGAGGTTCTTTTCCTGATTCTTGGCTTAGTTACGTCTACGCTGAGGTCAGTATTTGTGTCATGCATTTTAGGGTTTGGTACTCGGTGTACACGTATATAAGCAGAGTACCAGTGAAATAACACTCGGCTTATAGTCAGATACTAGGGAACTTATGAATTTCCTGTAGTGATTATTGCTTGGCTCATATTGTAAATTTTTGTCTCTTCTTCGCCCCCCTAAAGTCTAAATCTTAGCCCCGCCCCTGACTACGTTTATCACCCAGTAAGTCACAACATTGGATTTCTTTCTGCTTTTTGTGGGTCTTATAACTGGCTTTATTTGCAATACAACAATATATAATTTAGTTTATCTAGCATGCATTTTCTTTGAGTTTTCACCTAACACATCCATGGTATAGAAGAATAGTTCCTAGGTTCTCTCAAATCTAGGCGTGGTGCAAAGCAACGAAAGCATGCATATTCTGCATTTTTATATTCCTATTTTTTTTTGCGGGGGCATTTTCCTTTTTTTGATAATTCTATTAATGAGAAAGACCCTATAGCAAGTTACCGTTGGGGCAAACATCCATACCAGTGAGTCCAGTCTCGAGATGACTGGCACTGCAACTATACAACGGTTTTTGTGATAAATACATTACATATTCATGCATGTGACAGATCCAACCATTTCATCCATGAATAATTGATATGGAGATACAGGAATAAGAATCCTAAGAAGCGTATCAGATCTTGGTGGCAGCAACAATTCTTCAAGTCTCTCAGAAGGAATTCTCCTAGCATGCGTGGAGCAAAGGGATGTCCGCATACGGGCCATTGAGCACCCCACTGGCGATGACACTGTATGCCTTTTCCGTCATGTGAACCTGGTCCCAGTTGGCGAACCTTGATGGGTCGCGGCAAACCTTGGCGTTCCGGTCGCACGGAAGGCCGGTGCCGTAGGGCCCATTACCACCACAGCACGCCACGAGAGGGCTGTCGATGACATTCCTGTTGGGATTCTTGACGAACTCCATGAAGGCGCCGTAGTAGTCTGCGTAGATGATCTTCACGCTGGGGTTCCGGGACTTGAGCCGGCCGATCTCCTGCTTCAACAGCTGGTTGTGCCTCCGAGAGAACGCGTTGAACCACGCGAGGCAGCCGAACTGGTCGTAGTCGGCAGATGTATTGCTCTTGTGAGTACTAAGGTAGACCGGCACGCACCCGATGGGGAAGTTCCCCGGGACAAGGATCGTCTTGGCGCCGAGGTTGATCACCTTCTGCACGCCGGCTCCGATGCGGTCGATAATATCGGGCATATACTGGAGGGGCGTGTTTCTGTCCTTGCTGAGCTCAGAGTCAAAGAACCAAAAGTTGTAGTCATTGCCCCCAATCTCACCAAAGACGACCAGGGACTCGCTCAGGAGCCTCTTTGTTGCAGCTGATCACAGCAAAAAGAAAGGAATAAGTTGACCAAGAACACATGCAGGTGCATGGTGCATGCAGAAATGTCGCGTAATTAAAATATCATAACCTGACCCCAAGGTATGTTTTTGCATGCATTACGTACCATCTCCTGGAGCAATCCGTGTGAGCACTTTGTTGAAACTAGCGAGCTGATCGTTGAGGCTCCATGGAAACGGTACACTCAAGTTATACCTGGACTTGAAGTAGTTCGGGTTCAGCGCCATAGCGCCGAACACGGCAAAGTTGGCACCAGTGGTGAACTGCCCCGTCTTCTCCTCGGGCAAGCTCGGCGGCAGCAGCGGCAGGCCTAACGCTTGCGCTGACAAAACATCACGCACCAAATTTAGCACGGGTACGAAATTGAACTGTTAGAACACACATGCTTGCACATGTACATACCATAGAAGTCGATGATGAGACGCCTGTCAGAGGCGCGGCCCGTGGGGTGGTGGAAGTAGGTCTCTCCATAAGGAAGCACCGAGGGTGGACTCGGTGGTCTGTTGCGGATGGTGTATGCGAAGTTGCCGGTGTCAATGATGGAGTCGCCGAAGGAGAAGATACGCTTGAAGCAGCCGCACGACCCTAGATCAGCGTTGAGCAGCAGGGAAGCAAAGACCAAGAGGACAGCTAAGGAAATGGAGCAATGGCGATTGGAACTCCCCATCTTAGCTATCTAGCTAAGCAGGAGATATCTGGTTGCAAATAGAAGTGTTCCAGATCTACGTTTCGTTTAGTATTCCACATGAGGTCCCTTCATCCCCATTTATAGTAGAACATTATGCAGTCGAATTGTGTATATCAAGATGTCTATTAATTTAATTAATGATATTTTTTAGCAGTGTTTATCTTACTACCCCACAATTCTTTCCCTACAATTATATGTTTGGTGAATTGTGAAGGTATTGCTACAATTTGACTTCTTTCCAAATGCAGTCTTTCTAAAAGATAAGATTGGATTTCTATGGAATTAATTCATGCACTATATATGGGCCCATCTGATTTTCAGTCAGTTGCCTATATTGAATTATTTAGATTTTCAGTCAGTTTGCTATCCACCCTGATTGGGATCCAAAGGCCCACCTGCCGAAAGGCCCATCTGCCTTCTTCTTCCTCTGCTTAACAGGTGATGGAATTTTTTGACATGACATACACTTCTTTTCCGACAAGACTATATACTGAAACTAAAAATATCAGAGAATAACTTTTGTATTGAATAAAAAGGAAAGAAAGTAAAAAACTTTAAAGAAATGATGACAAAAACATGAACAGAAATTGCACATTTTCACAATATGTAAGAATAAGTTTATAATAGTGTAATTTTCAGAAAATATTATAATTTGCATATTAATATCGCATTTGTGCACATACTACACAGACATGCATGGTCACACACGACACACATGCGCTCACCCACAAGAGCACACACACGACACCTGTGTACAAAAGCAAACATGCGCACACACCTAGATACGACATGCAAGCGTGCGTCACACACACATAAACCCACACACTCACATATACAGAAAAAGAAAGAAAAAAAAGAAAAAATCGACTAAGAAGAAAGAAGAAAAAGACTAAAAGCAAACACACATGAAAAAGGTAAAAGAAGGAAATTCATTGAACTAGAAAAATATCATGCGCCTCTAATATAGCAAAAGAGACTATATATATGTGCATGCATGATATATAGTCATCATGTAAAACGTGTTTGGTGTTGTATGTTTTTTGGACGATGCATGAGAGCATTGGGGAATTGATTTAACGTTCACCTTATTAGATGAGCATATTACGAGAGAACCAAGAAAATAACAAGGAAGTATATTATGAAAGATTTGTTTTTTTATGCAGATAATTTGGTTGTTTTTTAGAGGTGAGAACCAACCAGTGAATGGATGATTAGCAGGGCAGTGTAGCTCCGCCCATCAAGGATCAAACCCCAGGTTTGAGCTTTGATATTTCATTATTGGAGATTATTCTTTCAGTTGGAGCCGACGTTTTCATCGATTGTGAGGCATCCGTGGTGACTTTGTCAATCTTCAATCTCCACAACTCCAACCCGCTCTTCAATTGGCGATGTGTGTGTGTGCGCGCGCGTGCACGCGTATGTTGCAATAGGTATTTAACAAAATGTTTTTTTAGATGTCACCTTTGTGGCGAACACAGAAAATTGCTCTAAAGTAAATCTACATCTTTTCAATTCTTTCCTAATGTAGGGTCCCTTTGTTTACATACTTTCCAATGAAATCCATGGTTCATGTACCACTAGAATGAGGGCCCAAACTAAATCTACTTGCCATTATGGGACCCAAAGGAAACTGACCGCCAAATGTGTAGAAAGACTTATGAATACAATTGCAAGTACGTATATGTTGTAATTCGTATCATGATTTTGAATATGTAAAACACTTGGCATTATAGTTTTTGGACAACAAATGAGGAACTAGTATTCTTGAGGAAGGACATTTTAACTCATCGATACCAGCTCATCAGAAAAAGCTTTTCTATCTTGGATGACCATTTCTTCAAACTGCTAGTAGATTGTGCTTTTCTCTGGAGGTTCGAAATTAGATCAACTAAAAAAGGCTTGTCCTCTCCTTATATGCCCTTACCCCTTCATCTCTCACGAGTGCCAAGGACTTCTAGGGTTACCTGCCTCTTGCCGACGCCGATGGTGGTCTAGCTCATATCTCATGGCTTTAGGGCTATGGAGGCGTGGTGGACCCCGAACTTGCCGGCGGGAGGGCTCCTCCATATTTAGATGTCTTTTTTAGTTTAGTTAGGGTTTGTGTCCTGTTCAGGAAGGCGAGTTGGGGATAGCTCCCTAATGATGGAATAATATTCTCCCGCCTAGCTTCCATCCAAGCGGGGCATCTATCGTCGTCGGAGGGCATGTGGAGATGTGTCTTCGGTGGATCTCACGGGGTTTGGTGAGTATTTGTCTTCGGTGAATCTGCTTGAATCCGGTCTTTGTTTCTCTTGTTTATGTGTACATAGGTTGGATCTTTCCGATCTACGTATCTCTTCATCTGCGACGTTTGTTGTTCTAGTGTGCTAATTCTGTGGGTACTTAGCATGACGACTACGCAACTGTCTACTACAACAAGTTTTGGCCAGCTTCAGTGAGGAAGGGGCGATGACATTGGCACGTACACCTTCCGCTTGCTCTTGTGCTTGTGGTTGTCACTGGGTGGTGTATAGATTTGTATGTAATTTTTTTCAATCCTGGTGTTCTTTGTACTCCATGGCGGACGCACACTATGGCAAGTGGGATCGTTGGACCACATTCAAGTTTTTGTCCTACATATCCGATACCAGCACACCATGGCCCCCAGTGCTCCCACTCCATTTGAGTAAGCTTGAAAAGAAGGTCAGAAAAAAAATACCAAAGGCCATTTCTGAGCAGCTGCTTACATGTCCCTGAATCTACTCGATTCAAAAAGTAACTTGAGCGATTTCCACCAAATAAAAATAAAAACATCGATTAAGCGTGAGCCGAAATGACACCGGTTTAGACTATTGGATGTCGATTCAAGCTTTTGGATATTGGACTTTAATTACATAAGGAAATGAATCGTGAGTTTTGCCACAACTTGCTGTGATGATTGGGTTACTTGCCCTCGGTAGCCCGGCCACATGCCAGTCACCCAGTCCGGAGTATGTCGTGCGCTCGGTGCCCAGTGCGCCTTCCGCAGCTGACTGGACTGGCTACGCACATCAGTGGTCGGCACTAGGGTCTGCAGGTCTGCATCGGCCTCATCCCCAATAGGCTAACTCCAGAGCTAGGTTTGTTTGACTTCGGTTGATCCATTTATGATATGATCTTTATTCATTTGGATTCCTGGTAGTTCATGTCAAATAAAATGCAAAGATGCAGTTCGTAATAGTGTAGTACTACCAGGGTTTTGGCTACCGAATCTCAAAAAAACAAGCGGGAGCGGGAAACGTGGTTACCACGGTTATGGAAACATTTCATGCAGATACCGATCAAATTTTTAAAACGACCTTCAAATTCAAATTTATTTGAGCTTGGTATACATACGTGTTATACTCATATTAGTCCCCTAGTGTGGCAGTGGTTGTCTTGCCTGTCATTGAATGCCGAGGTGGCGACTTCGATCCCTGGTTGGGCTGATTATTATTTACAACACAATATATAGTTTTATGCTCAAAGTCTGTGAAAAGAAATTACGGGCCCCTTGGATTCAAACGAGAGACGTAAAGCGTAGCATACGTTGAACGGCCGTACTTGCCAGAAAACCATCGTTGCTTGCATTTTATATAAGAGTTCCAGCTTTGGTTATCTATTAAAAAATTGGAATTTTATTGTTAATACACAAAGTACTAAGGCCCCACAAGTCTCAGCAACATTGCCCACAAATATCCCACAAAGCGCATACCCACCCCCATGATACTACTAAGGTCAAAGTCTCACTCGTGGTTGATCTCGCACTAAGAGGATGATCACTGGGCCCTGTAGAATCTCTTTATTCCCTCATAACACTTGAAGGCTTTGAAGTGCCTCCTAACTATCTAGGAAGCCCACATCTATACCAATATAAAAAGACCCAAAAGAGCATATCCAACTGATCTCGATCATCAAACCAGGTTAATCCAACGACCTACACTCCTCCAATGGCGAGCGTTCAACATGTTTAACATGCAATTAATATCATACCAAATATTGCACTAATCACAGACTTATCACACAAATAATAGTATACCTAATATCGACATGCAATTAATATATTGCCTAAATATTAACATGCATTGCACGTGCGCATTCACTAGTCATACCAAATTCACAAGCAAACCAAAGTCACATGGATGAAGTCTTCAAAATACCAAACCCATAGGATCTCTCTCACAAAGATAGAGTTGAAGCAAATAGATATGGAACACAATATATTTGTTCAATAAGAACGTGGCTAGACCTATGGGGAAATGCTACGGGAAGTAATCTACAAACTGAGTTTGCAATGCTTAATTGGAAAACCGAGGCAGCGGGGTCCACCCTAGAAATAACGGCGGAGACGGATAAGTTAGAGGGAATAGTCCATCGAAACTACTCTGCGTACGAAGCCTTCTCGTCAGACAACAGTACGACCAAACTGGTATCATCTCTAAATACTAGGACCCACAAACTGAATCATCTATGGCTGTCTCTAATCGGATGGAGTGTTGGACACAAATTTATCGTACGTATAGCAAGGTTCATAGTACATAAGTTTCTTTCGTAAGTAGCCAGTAAGTTTCACATTTTTTATTCAATAAAGGGAGGAGTTTGTCCTTCAAACCCTGAAGGTCCTGCCCTCTAGGCTTTCACAAAGTGTCACAAAATGGATGGTAACTCGCTTATCTACTCAAGGGGTATGGGTACTATTTATATAGAAAGCAGAAATTGTCTGTTACTCTGGTGAAGTAACTAATAATCGGAAGTTATGGAAAATCCATGAGTAGTGCCGCACATGTTCAAAAATTGAATTGTCGAAAGGGCAACGCAATTCACAGAAGGGCGCGATACTCGAAGGTACCAGACTGTCCGCTAAACAAAGTATTATTTATTTTCCATTCCTTTCACTTTTTGCCTCTCCACTTTGTATCATATTTTGTTTATGAATGCAAATTACCGTAGAACTATTGTTCTATGGTTTGTGTTTCAATAAG